CAGCCGATCCTGTTGGCCGACAAGGTGAGGATGGTCACGTTGGAGGACAACCCCTTGGGTACCTCCTGGAGATCCTTGTAGGCACACTCAGCCAACAACCGCCCGTTTTTCTTGGTGGAGCAGGAGCAGGGGCTGGGACAGGCCAGGCAGGGCCCCAGGAGTGCAGCCAGTACCAGGCAGCAGAGCAGGAGCCTCATCCTTCCTCCTGGGAACAGAGATGGGGCAATGAAAGGGTTGGGTCTAGCCAAGAAGGAGATCTACTTTTTCTTGCCAAATACTAAGAGGAAGCTCAGAAGAACAAAGCATCCACGTGATTATCCCCAGAACTCTGGCTGGAAAAGACTGTTTGAAATATCCCCTTATCAGAAGGCATTTCCTCACCAAGACCAGAACCTTCAACTACTGAGTAAGGGGGGAACTTCCCCCTAAACCCTTTCCTTCCCCCACTAGAAGATGTCTTTTCTCGATCTTTGATGAAATACCACCCCCAATATGCTGTTTCCATGGGGTTCAGAGTTCATTCCGCAGAGACTGGAATTAGGAGAAACAGAGCAGCCACAGCTCTTTCCCAACCAGCTTTCCCCTAAACCATCGAGCTGTTGGGATTTTCAGCAGGCTCTTCAGACCACAAACCAACCCCCCATCTCCATATTTTTCCATGTCGTGGAAAAACCCCAGCTTCTCAAGTGCTTTTTCTCAGCAAGGGAGTGTGGGGTCCCTGGCTGCTGGAAGTCTTTAGAGTGAAATATTTCTGAGCTAACTCCTTACTCCCCTCCCTCCTGCCTTGCAAAGGGGACGGTTCGTGCTCGGCTCCCGGCATCTAGAGGCTGTGTCCCACCAGGGAAGAGGTTAAATACAGCTCTGCGAGGAGCTGGCAGCCAGACCCCTTTGTCTCTGCCTTGTAGGCAAATTTTGCTGCTCTTTCCAGTTCCCAACCCTGTCATTTAAAGCAGGAGGGGGGGACGTTTTATTGGTAATGGAGAGGCTGAATAAGACATGCACAGCTGAGGGGGAGGGACGGGAAAGACACAGAAAAGAAGGACCCTGCAGGGATTGAACACCCCGAGTCCTGGGGTTCGAGGGATGGGGAAGGAGCCCCGCTGACTCTGTGGGTGATGGAAGGCTGCGGGGGGGGAGGGGGGGGAGGGTCGGTCTTGT